TATATATATGCATAAAGAGCGGTACGTTGCCGAACCAGGGTTATGGAGAACACAGTCCTTAACTTACTTCGTCATGGTACACTTCTTCATCTATAAAGGCATTTGTGGAAGGTTTTCGTCCGAGAGGAATTTTTACGGTTGCACCCGTGGCTGATACCATGAAATCTGTATCGCGCATACTCGCATTCGGTGTTTGTAAGCCATTCCACGAGAAAGATATATTCTCTGTTCTCTCTGACACGCGATTAAAACGGTACGACTTCGTCTCCGACGTAAGTGCTGAATCCGAAGATGGTGGCCCGAATATCGATTCAAGCATGCTTAACAATGAGCCATTGGGTTCAGGATAACTAGTGCGACCACGACGGTATAAAGCTCGCTTGAGCTGGAAATTTTCGTTTAAGCACCAGATAAAGGGAATAGAGGGCAGGGTAAATTTGAAGAACGGTTGATGGGAAAATAAATTGAAGGTGTCCGGGAACAGCTATTACTTTCGCTTATCAGAGGAACATGTCATATTCTTGTACCTTAACCTCCTCTGACGGCACGATATTTCCTGGTAGCTAATTTATGTTCTGCTGTACTCCTTAGAGTAACTATGGCCAAGTTTTCAGTAGAACTCCGCGACGTCACAAATCAAACCCAGGCTAGCCCAAGAATTCTCTTATGAATCCCTGATTTGGCTTAGACAACTTGGGAATAGTGCGCAGGTAAACCAACTATGAACAGATTTGATGGGGCTGTTTGCCGCCGGTCTTTACTAACCGAGGTTCTCAGCCCACCAGCACTACCACCAATGAATGTTTTGCGTTAGCAGATTACATGTCGTCCCGTTGGTCACTGTGCCTATCATCTGATGATGTCTTTTCTTTTTTTCGTTTTCATTTTTACTTTCCTTTACTGGATGTAGAAAGATGCAACTTTCGGGAAGAGGGAAGCGGCTAATCAAAGGGCTGCCATACAACATACAGAGAATGTGGAAGTTAGGCGATGGTGTTGGGATTCAAACACACCTCCTCTCGAGTGAAAACAGTGACGTCACCACCGGGCTACTATAGCCCATTCTCCAATCTAATTTCTAGAGCCTATGTTGCCGTTTCCCATAATTGTTTACTAGCTCCAGGAGTAGGAAAATTGATAAAAGTTATGAGCATATCTGCATCACGACCTGTTTCACTGCTTATGTAACAAAAATAGTATGCGGCTCTTGTGAGTACATATTTCCACAAATTCTCGTGAAAATCTCCTAAATATATGTTATATTCAGTGACGAACTACCTCACTGTCAAAGAGGTTTCCATTAAATTAAAGTAAACAAACATTTTATGGGATTGCGTGAATCTGTTTGGAAAATAAGAACCACCATCTTGTGATAGCGAAATAAATAAATGGAATTTGTATACCGAGTCAATGTAAGATTGTAATCCAGTAATCCATCAGGCAAGTCGTTTAAAAAGTTCTGTAACCTAGATGAAGCATACGTAGATATCGTAAACTGACGACTAAATAAGACAAGAAAATAACGGATCAGTCAGTCAGTCAGTCAGTCAGTCAGTCAGTCAGTCAGTCAGTCAGTCAGTCAGTCAAATATCAGTCAGTGTATCAGTCAGTCAGTCAATCAGTCAGTCAGTCAGTCAGTCAGTCAGTCAGTCAGTCAGTCAGACAGTCAGTCAGTCAATCAGTCAGTCAGTCAGTCAGTCAGTCAGTCAGTCAGTCAGTCAGTTCAGTCAGTGCTGCACAGGCAGTCAGTCAGTCAGTCAGTCAGTCAGTATCAGTCAGTGTATCAGTCAGTCAGTCAATCAGTCAGTCAGTCAGTCAGTCAGTCAGTCAGTCAGTCAGTCAGACAGTCAGTCAGTCAATCAGTCAGTCAGTCAGTCAGTCAGTCAGTCAGTCAGTCAGTCAGTTCAGTCAGTGCTGCACAGTCAGTCAGTGCAGTCAGTCAGTCAGTCAGTCAGTCATTCCGGTGGTATATCCATCAGTATATATATATTTATCTATATTATGCATAAAATTGTACTCTTTCTTTTTATTGTTTAAGATAAACACAGTTACCATTGTAAGATGAAGTAAACAAATGACCTAAATCCGCTTTTTAGAACTATAAAAGTGACGCTTCCATTTTTAATGGCTTATATGCTCTTTATGAGTTGGATGTATTTCGGCCAATAGAACGACAATTGTCACTGAATGAAGGAATTACTCTTACCTTGGCGTCAATCAGTTAGTCAAACCGGTATATGCATGTTGAAAATCTACTTACCTTTGGTGCGTTTGCTTTTAGTTCCAGCAATT